CCTCTCTGGGAGCTTATGGTCCAGACTTTTAAAACCCTAAATGCCTCTCGACCTGATCTTACTTAATCTTGTTGGCTATGCTATGATATCAAGCCCCCCTACTATGAAGGAATAGCTTTCCCTGGAAACCTTACTAAATCAGAAAATGCTAGTCAATGCAGGTGACAACAGAAGGGGACAGGTAGACTGACTCTACAATCCATAGTTGGGAGCGGCACTTGTATTGGTAACATCCCGACTACTCACCAACGCCTTTGTAGCCAGACTCTCTGGCCTTATTCTGGAAGATACCTTATAACCTCCCCCCCAATGGATGGTGGGCCTGCTCCATGGGGCTCATCCCTTGTGCACATGAAACAGTGCTCAACCAGACTAGTGACTTTTGTATATTAGTACAACTAGTTCCCAGGCTGATCTATCACCCTGAAAAAGATATTTATACCCCATACTTAGGTAAAGCCCCAACTAGGATTAAATGGGAGCCCATAACAGCCATCACTTTGACAGTGCTCTTGGGTCTAGGCCTAGCCGGAGCTGGGGTGGGGGTCTCCGCCCTGATTTTGCAAAACAAGCATTATAATGATTTAAGAACAGCCATTGATTTAGACATTGAGAGACTCGAGAGTTTGATCTCTCACTTATAGGAATCACTGTCCTCCCTGGCAGAGGTAGTGCTTCAAAATAAAAGGGGCTTGGACTTGGTCTTCCTACAACAGGGAGGGCTCTGTGCCGCCCTGGGAGAAAAATGTTGTTTCTATATAGATCATTCAGGTGTGGTCAAAGAGTCCATGGCAAAAGTCAGAGAGGGCCTAGCTAAACGAAAATGTGAACGTGAACTGGCCCAGGGATGGGCCATGGCTGACTGCCCTGATTTCTACCCTGTTTGGTCCTCTGCTTATTTTGCTGCTTCTCTTGATATTTGGACCTTGCTTACTTAACAAATTGACTTCATTCATTAGAGAACGTGTCAGTGCAGTGCAAATATTGGCTCTCAGGTCACAGTATCAACATATATCAGAAAACCCAATAGAGTTAACCCTCCAAGACCCATGATTGGGCCTCGATAGTCTCATGAGAAGGGGGGAATGTGAGACCTGAGTGACTCCATTTTAAAATTTTGGCCCCATTTTAGAGTAAGGTGGCCTGGACATAAATTCTAGTTCCAAGAAAAACCACAAGATGCACTTCGGCCACCTGCCTGTGATAATGTTCAGCAGTCCCCTAGCAACTAGCCTAGCAACTAGCCTAGCAACAGCTAGTTGGTAGCTACCTCAATGTCCCAGATGCTCTTCTCGATGGCCTGAAACAGCTAATCAGTAGTTATCCCAATACCCCAGTATCCCAGATGTTCTTTTCGATGACTTGAGCAGCCATTTGCAGTTCAGCGCACAAGGCCCAACCAATTAGGTTTAAACTTTCAAAACTTGCTACATGCTAGCCAATTGTGTGATTTGTGTGTGATTTGAAACCCTGCACCTTTTTGAAACCCCGCGCCTTGCTGTAACCTCTATAAAAACCCCTGGTGTTTTAGAGTCGGGGCTCTCAACCCTGACCTGCTGCATCAGTGTGGGATGAGAGTCCCTGCTTGAGCTTGAATAAATGACCCTCGTGTGTTTGCATCGGAATCGGCTCCTTGGTGGTCTTTGGGGACCTTGCAATCTGGGCAGAACATAAACTAGTACAACCATTATGGAAATCAGTATGGAGATTTCTCAAAGAATTGAAATTAGAAATTCCATATACCTTGCTAGGTATATTCCCCAAAGAGCTTAAAAACAGCATACTACACACAGATACAATACATGCATGTGGGACTGCATAACTCTGTAATCATAAAACTCCCCTAGCCCCAACTGTGATTGAATGTGAGTAAATAGATAAAGATGCTTGTTAGTTCTGGGACACTAGATAAGATCTGTATCAGCCATAAGGTCCCAAAGTAAATTACTCAACTCTTTGTTCGAAAACTGATGTTCCAGACACCACTATCTATAGAACAATCTACAAACATCTGCTGACCATCAGTACATGTCAGCTGACCACTAACCTTTGTTCCTCTTCTGTAAATTTCGCCTGTTAACTTCCCCTGCAACCCCCTATAAAAAGAGCCTGGGACTCTGGGCTAGTCGCCTCTCTAAGCTACTTTGCTTTGGGAGTGCCATCTGGCCAGACTAAGGTCTGTTTTACTTTCCAACTTGTCCGGTGTGTTCCTTCCCGGGTGTTCTTCACTGCAGTCCACTCCTCAGAGCATTTGGTAAGGCCCTCAGTCTTAACAATGCACACCAATGTTTATAGCAGCACAACTTGTAATAGCTAAATGCTGGAAATAGCCTGTATACCCAAAACCAGACAATTAAATAAAGAAAATGTGCTATTTATATATAATGAACTACTACTTTGCTATAAAGAATGACAGATTTGAGACATTTGTAGGAAAATGGATGCACCTAGGAAATACAATGTTAAGTGAAATAAACCAGACACATATGTTTAAATACCATATGGTATCTCTCATTTGACTGAGACAAAGTACAAACAAAGACAATAATAAAGGATGGAGAGAAGTGGACAAGGAGATGAATCTCTTGCAATAGGTAAATGGTTCAAGGTGAAAAGTGTGAGGGATGAGGAAGAAGGTGTCAGGTAAAAGGCCAAAGACCAAGACCAGACCAGGCCACAACAAGCCTTTACTAGGGGAATAGATCTGCCAGGCTGTCTCTGAACAAAGGAGAGACAAAAGCAACATGGCCGGGGCAGGGAGAGTCTTTTATAGATACTGGGGTGGGACTTGTAGGGGCTGAGGTGGGGTTGAATGAGGTAGTGACTAGGGAATGGAGGAGCCGGTGATATCACTAGGTGGTAGGAGGTGAGTATTAGGTTACTCTCTAGGCAGGAACAGGGGCATGCTGGGAAGAAGGGTTTATTCTTTGGTGGGAGCAACCATCCTGGCATGACATCACACAGGGGAGGGGGCAAGGCACACTAGGAAGAGGGCAGCTACTATCCATAATAGCTGCTGAGGTAGTGGGAGACCTATCAGAAGGGAAGTGAAATAAGTAGAATAAAGATATACCAAGTACAGGAACCTAATAATCTCATTTAATGTAAACAGTATATGCTATAACATGAGCTAAGATTAATAATACCAACAAGAGTGAAAAATGGGGTGGAGGAATTTGAGGAGGAGGGAAGAAGGGAAATAAAAATAAAAAAGAAATAAGCTGTGGTATGTACATGTAACCACTTTCCAAGATGATTGTAAACTGCATGAATTGCAAACATGTACTAATAAAATAAAAAATAAATATTTAAATTTTAAAAAAGGAAGGTTGCCTTGTGGCAAGTGAGAGTCATGCCATTCAATGGAATGAAAAGTTGACAGTCTACTTCTGAGTCCAATCTCTGTCTCATTATCTGTATGCCCTTATATGTAATCAGGAAATAAAAATGCTTAAAGAAGAGGTTTATATATTTCAGGCTAGTGAGAGGATCAAATAACATCATGCTTACAGAAGTGCTTTATAAAATCTTACCACACTTGAAAGGTTTTAAATTTTTATTCCTCCTTTTTATCCCCACTTGATACAGAAAAGTTTTAGATAACTTAATAGATTGAATATTAAGGTAATTGTAGAAGCAAAATAAGTAATGTGTTCTTTTAAGATTTGCTTTTCTCATAACTCCTTGTTTAAGGTGAGGATTATCTGACTCTAACCAGTAACTTCATTAACCTAACAAAGTTACCTTGCCAGGGTGAATTTACAATGTATATGGCCTATCTTGTGTCTGTGACTTGTAAATAGGAACTGGAATTGTATTTACATATCAAAGACCACTAGGGATGAGATAATGGCTAAAAAGGATACAAAAAGGGAAATGCTGAACAAAAGGGGCTGATACTGACTGGTCTGGTTTCTGGCATTCCCGCTTGCTCTCAAGAAGAAATTTTATTATTTTATCTGAATTCTGTGTCTCTGTGTATTTCTTTCTGAGATTTCTGCAACACACTGATTTCCAGAAAGAGTTTTAGTTCAGTTACAACAGAAGGAACATAGTAAGACTATTACAGCACAGATAATATAACAATTCACATAATGGAAATAGCAGATATTTGTTCTGGAAAATCTACATTAAGAATAGTTGCTTCAATTGAGCACTAAACTCAGATTTGAATGAAGGCAAAAAACAGAACACAATTAGGCATTTGGTTCTCCTAAATTACAAAATGAAGTGTGCAGAGTCATTAAGAGAGACAGAAATTTTCCTGCCATTAAAGGCTAGGAGGACATGAATGTGAGATTGTGTTGGGGACACGCACTTGTCTATACTCCTCTTGCAGTTAGATATGGTCATGTGACTGGGTTCTAGCCAATGAGATGGGAGCCTAAGCCTCAAAAACCTTCCCTATGTGTTCCCCCATGCTCCTTCCCTTCCTAGCAGCTTGATGCATGGCATGGTTGGAAGGCAGCAGATAGAAGAGGATAAGGGACTTGAATACTTATTTGGAGCCACTTATCAATTTAAAAAATCTGCTTTCTATTTTACATGAGCAAGAAATAAGCCTCTTTCATGTTTAATCTATGTGCAGTTGTAGTACTTAACTTTGTATCACTATAATGAACTGAGACATGCCACTTGTAGGGTAAAAAGATGAGTTCTGGAGATTCATTCCAAGATTGAGTAGCTCCGTTGGTCTGCTGGTCTGGTGATGATGACACATCAATGTGGGAGGGTGTGACAGAGCAAACTCCTTACATCTGGGGTCAGGAAGGAGAGAGACAGAGATTTTGGGGTCCCACAATACCCTCTGAGAAAACACTCTCAATGACCTAAGTACCTCGGCTCCCTCTCTTAAAGGTCCACAGCACCTCCCAATACCTCAGCTCTGGAGACTTTGCTTTTAACACATGGACTTTAAGGGGACACTATCCAAATTGAAACCAATCACATAATGTATAAAGAATGACATTATTGTCAACAATGGTGTTATAGCTTATATCTACATATAAGCCCCTAGAGCCTCATGCACTCATGGGTGGGAGATGACTGGGTAATGAGGGCATGATAATGTGATGTTGGGAGGTGAGGCCTGGTTGGAGGAGGAGGGTCACCAGGGGCATAGCCTGGAAGGGTCTATCTCCCTCCTTTCTCCACTCTCTGCTTCCAACTGCCATGCTATGAACTGTTTCTCCTCTGTGATGCCCTTCTGCCATGCCACCCTGCCTTGGAGCCAGTTGACAATGGACTGAAACCTCCTTAAATTGTTAGTGTCAAGTATTGTGTCAGAGAAAGTAACTAATGAGAAAGTAACTAAGACAAATGGGCCACATAAATATGATGGTGGTCATCTAGCGATGCTGTAGCCGTAAAAGTTTGTGTAAGTACACACTATGATATTCACCCAATGAGATCACCTGTAAACACATTTTTCACAAGTCCTGTCTTTAAGTGATGCATAAGTACATTTTACTCAATTTTCACATCCTAAAAAAAACAAAGTTGTCTAATTTAGAAGATTATATGATAATATAACACTAAATTATTTATTAAATATTATTTATTAAATTATAATTTAATAAATAATATTTATTAAATTATTTATTAAATATTTAGCTATCAGGCTTATCTAATAAAAATGTTAAACTGTCTTCTTGAACTATATCATATCTTATCAGAGACAAAATATAAAATATAAACATTCTGAGGGAAGACAATAAAACAGAAATGGGTAATTTTGTTTATGCGTTTGAGATGGTGGCACATGTAGTGGAAAGAAAAGAAGCAAGAGATGAGGTTACCTGTGGAATGTGAGGCACGTGCAGTGGGGCCTGTTCTCCTGTGTACCTGAATAGTGAAGTTGCCATGGGCAATGTGAAGGCCTAGAGGTTTCTAGATCCTTAACAAATTGGGAGGAAGCTTGGTGGTTCAGAAAGAAGAACAAATACGGGAAAGAGATGAAGGGGCCAAACCTCTGTATCCCCTGAAATCCTAGTCTGCCCGCAAGGGTATGACAGGGTAAGTAAATCTCAGCTGTGTTTTGTTGAAGGAAAGAAGCATATTTCCTAGGCCCTGTTATAAAATTGTCTGCAGTCATCTTGGGAATTTTATACAGGTGATCTAGAATAAGGATACCATAAATTCTACAAATGTAATTATTTTAATTTTCCTCAATTGCAATGTTAGGACTTGGAGAATTACTTCCTGAACTTTTCTCATCTTTTGAGATTAAGGTAGCCTCAGTACAGTGTGTTTAGATTCCATTCGCTCTCAGGACACTTTCATTCCAAGAATTCTCACCGAACAGTCTCCAGAGACTTCCTGTTAGAGGAGTTTTCACTGTGACTTTTTCACACTGAACTATTTTCATCCTTCTGACCTTGAGTATGAATACATCTTGTGCTACATGTTAGTTTTGGGGGTTTTTATTTCTAGTGTTAGTTAAAATTAAAGATTTAGCAAGGTTTTGGCAAATGGCAGCATAAATAGGGTGAGGATGGCCCCCAGCTTTGGGCACATAACCTGAGCTGGAAGGGATGTGTAAGGACTTTATTTATAGAGGCAAATCGGGACCCTATCTAGAGAGCTCAGCAGTTGTGAGCAAATTATATCAGGCAAAACAGATTAGAGAGGCAACAGAGCATCCAGTATCAAAGGCAGAAAGTTCTTACACAATGAGGTCAACAAGAGAGAAAGCAAGGAGAGAAATATGTTGATACCAACGTAACCAATGCACAGAACAAAATATATATGAAGTCCCAATGGGGCTTTCCAAAAGTTTCATTTCCTTTACACCATAATTTTGACTTCTCATTATTCCTATAAAATCAGCAACTACAGCCATTCTTTCTTTCATGCAATAGCTGGCTTATGAAGTTTCTAAGAAAATGTAAAATATGGTTGACATCAAATTAATATAGATATCCAGAGACCATGTCATTTCTCTAGGCATTGCATTTCTACAGGAAAGTTTGAGTAACAACCATCTTACAATTCTATGAATAACACAAGTTTCACTCTCTTTAGGCTGGTATATGTTCTTTTGACACCATCACTTAAAAGAAAATGAAGTTTCTTTGCTAGTCTCTCCACATATATAACTTCGTTCCAAAGAATAGAATCAAGACATCAATTAGCATCTTTGCTTCCTAATATGATGTGAAATAGAGGATGAAAAATGATACATTTTTATTCTTCTAGGCGCATTTTGCCTTAGCTCCCATCTCTGACCACAAGAAAAAGGAATGTAGAAAAACATTAACAAGTGTCATCGGAAGCTTATTTCCTTTAGGAAACATGAATTAGAATCAAGACAGTGTTAGAGAGTATGTATTTCAACTTCTAACTGAATAAGTAACACCAAATGTTAATTGCATACTCCATCTGTGTGGATAGCACTCTTCCCTGTGCTGCCCACTAATACCTCACTTAATCCTTGAAAAAAAAACTCCATTATGTCCACATTAGAAATAAAAGAAACTGAGGTCTAGAAATGCACAATATCACATTGTAAGTGGCAAAATTGGTATTCAAATCTAGGAAATCTGACTTGGGACTCTTGAACACTAGATGACCCTGAACCATTTACACTACTATACAAACAACATAACTACATGCTTTATTCCTAAATGTTACTACTAAGAATAATATGGTATGGACATTTCACTTGGCAACATATGTATAACAACCATTGCACCGTTCTAAGAACTCCCTGTTCTTCATGTAAGCATTGCTACTGCTATTTAAGGAGATGGGCTTCTGCCAATATATGTCAACTCTTAAATCTCAAATAAATAGTCAAATAAATAAATAAAAACAAAAAATGAAGGAACCTGGTGCAGAGTCTGGCATTTCCAGGGGCATGTCTTTAGTGAGTGCATCACAAACCACTGCCTGCAGAGTCTGTGCTGCTAGACAGCAGCTAAGGGCATTTTTACCTTCTGCTACAGTTTTCACCTCACACCTAGGTGTGAGCCCAGCACTCCTGACAGATGGGCTGAAGTCCACTGACCTCGTCCAGGGTGTTGTCTTCTCAGAGTGTCCATCCTGTGTTTAGAAATCATGTTTGCTCAAGGGCTTGACTCTTAATACCAGCTGTACATGGCCCTTGGTTTGCTCTATTCTGTATTAAAAATAGATCATTGCCATTTTTTCTTCTTTTTTTTTTGACTCAAAAGTCAACTAAAAAAACTGCTATAGATACTCTGTGTTCATGGAAGGTCAGAACTGTATTTTCTTCTCCTTTGTGGTCCATCAGTGCCTACTTTTCCAACTGGCAATTTCAAAATCAGTGATCCTATTTTGAAAGGTCTAATGTAAAACAAAAGAAAACTAAAAAAGAAAAAAACACTTGAGACTGAACTTTCTATTTTATCTTGGGTTCATTTAAGACAAGTGTGTAGTTTGGCAAGACATCCACCCCAACCTTGAGTAGCAGTTTCACTAACATACTGATTATAAAACTAACTCTCCTAATGGAACTTTGAGTTCAAATTATTTGTGCTCTTAGCACCAGAACAAAGCTGTCACATTTCTGTTCATTCCAGAGTCAAAGCTGTCATAATCTGCAGTTATATTTTTCTGATTGTCCTCAAGCTGTCAAAATGTTTGCTATGTTTATCAAAATATGCCAAATTCACTGGGGCATTGGGCATGAGCAGCCCTGAAATCTTTCAGAAAAATGAGGTTAGAGGAATAGCAAATACATGGAGATTAAAATGAGAAAAGTGTAAGACCATATCTTTGCTACCCAATATGATAGAATCTATTGTAAATAAATGATTGCTACTATTGGGGCATAAATGTATCAACACAAATAGAATTGAAATTATTATACAAAATGGGGTATAATTGAATTTCCATGGTTAGTAACTTTTATTTATGTTAACTTGTTTGTTGGATAGTTAACAAATAAAATTTATTCCAATTATAGGTCAATATAACTGTTAGACTTCATGTTTTATTCATTTAAAGTTGTATTCCCAAATAGTGTATGTCTGCTTCAAAGTAATAAATACACCAAGCACCCCCAGGAGGACCTTGTAACTGAGATCATATTTTAGCAAACATAATGGAGTAGAAAGCATGGAGGCTCATGTCCATTTCACAGCACAGAAGGGCACTTCTTCCTACCCACATTTGAAACTAAAAATCACTTTGGTATGCTATTAATTAGGCATAGCTGCAGAATTTTAAATTAATTAACTAAGTTAGGGAGAAGGAAATTATTCTTTGGTAGTTAAATTCCTATAGTTTATTTTGTGTGTGGAATTAAAATGAAAACTTTTCATTTTGTTTTTATTGGCATTGCTCCAGGACTGACAAGAAGCACCTGAGGCCGGTCCTTCCTGTGGGTCCATGGGACAGCAAATGACCAAAATCAGCTCTGAAGGGAGCTGTGTCCCTCAGAGGGAGGCAGGAGAGAACAGTCAGAACTGGGTGTGTACAGCTGCATTTGCCTCATCCTAGGTCCATATCAGATGCAAGGACAGTTATTATTGCGGTCATTCAAATAATCTGGGGTACTCTGGTTTTTCTCATGCACAACCATAATTTTTGGTTACCATCAAATATGTTGATTTCTAAGAAAAAATAATTCCAAGAATTAATTCTCCTTCCTTATGGGAATAATATTTATGTGCAACAATTCCGTTGTTTCTGGTTTTTGGATTTTTTTGTTTTGTTTTGTTTCGTTTCATTTTTAGTACTAAAGATTGGAACCTAGAGGTATTGTATAACATCCCCAGATCTTTTTATTTTATCTTCATTCTTGGTTCTTTTTTTCAATTTTTATTTTGTTATTAGTACATGTTTGCAGAACATAGTGATTACATTCCTCATGGGGAGGTGGTACACATTCATGACACATCTTCATTCTTTTTTCATCCCCTTCTCCTCCCCTCCTCACTTCATCTCTTGGTCCCCTTCCCTTTTGCAAAAGATGTATCTCCCTGTTTCCAATATTTATCTTTTATTTTGCTTTTTATTTATATTTTGGGTTTCAGTTTTTGAGTTAGTGTCTCTTAAGTCGTCCAGGCTGGCCATGAACTTGGGATCCTCCTGATCCTCCTGCTGCAACCTCCCAAGCAGTTGGTATTACAGATATGAGCCACCACTCCCACTATGTGTAGCAATTTCAAGCTACATAGTGGTATTCGTCTTAAAGAACTGAGCGATAAAGTTACCAAGCAATGATGTTAAATTCAAGTCTGGCTATTTTCAATTCCCTGCTTTAACTATTAACTATATTACATTAAGAGAAAGGGAAAAGGAGAGAAAGAGAGAGAGAGAGAGACAGAGAGAGAGAGAGAGACAGAGACAGAGACAGAGAGGGAAAGAAAGAAAGAAAGAAAGAAAGAAAGAAAGAAAGAAAGAAAGAAAGAAAGAAAGGAAAGAAAGAAAGAAAATGGAAGGAAGGAGGGAGGAAGAGAAGGAAGAAGAGAGAGAGAGAGGAGAGAGGGAGAAAAGAAAGAAAAATCTGTTTCTTCCTAGTGTCCTTCGTGAACAACTCAGTCTCTGGTCAATAAGCTGAGCACTTACCTCAAAAGCCCTCTGTATTTTTAAAAAATCATTCACTTCAAGGTGGTTTTCAAGCAGGCCTGTGCCACAGTCTTTGTCCGCATTTAGACCTGCTATTTTCTCAGGGATTCCTGGCCCGGGCTTGGGCCCCATATTTAATTCAGGTGCAGAATTCTGGCAACTCATAATAGCTTCACCTCTTTTCAGTAGCTTTCACCTCTTTCCTATGTTTTTGTTTTATTTTCTTCAACAGATGCCTTTGAAAAGAAACACAACTTAGCAACAGAATCCCAGAATGAAACTACAAACCTTTCTGACAATGAAATTAGGAGGCAAAATGCTTAAGCTAAGCTAAGAAAAGAAATCCCCCCCCCCATTATTTGTTTCTATAGTTCATTTCCAAAATCTACCATCCCCCTGCTTATCTTCTACGGTTACAAATGGCATGGTTAAAAATGTGTGAACCTCCCCCCAAGTTTATAGCAATTGATACTGAAACACCTTCAGATCCTCTTTTAAATGCATTAGAAAAGCAACTTTTCAAAATCTCTTTGGTTAAACTTGCTTACATTAACATGTCGTTTTCAATTCCGTTTTTTTGTCAAGGGGGCATTAGATGAAGCAGCTCCAATGAGGCGCTGTCGACAGAAACCCACCTTCCCAGCAATGTGGAGTTGTTTGTTTCATTTGTTTCTGATGCCTTTGTATGTTTCCTGGCAACCATCATAAAGCCAACTAAAACTTTTCTTTTCCTTCCCCTTCCTAACTAATAATTGAACTGAAAGTGTGAAAGGATAATGTAAACCTTGAATTACTTTTTTTTAAAGAATGGGTCAGCCCACTCACTTTTTAATGAAACTACATCCTGCATTATTTAAAGACTATTTTTACTACAAACGTATTTTCTGTGAAGCATATTATCTCCTATGAACCAATATGATTAGCCAAAGAAAAAGAGTATGGCATTCTGGAATTTTATTTTTTTCTACACAGAAATTTGTAAGTCTTATTTAATAAGAACACTATTCCTTATATTCTCTTTACCCTAGTTTCTGTGTGTATAAATTAAGCATGGCTCATAAAACAGTTTTGCACTCATTGAAAATGTGAAAAGAAAGTAAAGCATAACATGATAAACTCAATGATGAAACTATTTACAGTAAGCTGAACTAGTGATGAAAAAAATGAAAAGTAAGAGAAAAAGGAAAAAAATTAACTTTCTGTGAATATTTATCATGTTCCAGGAACTGCTCTCTGTGCACCTTACATTCCTTTTAATTGTGTTTTGTTTTGTTTTGTTGAGACAAGTTCTCACTGAGCTGGCCTTGAACTCACTATGTAGCCAGGTTGGCCTCAAACTCAATCTTCTGCCTCAGCCTTCCATGTACTGGGATGCATTCTTTTTCTTGTTTAACCTTCAGAAAACTCTACGAAGGAGATATGATCATGATCTCCATTTTATGAATGAAATGGCAAAGAAAATGCTGAAGGTCAGACAAGGAAGTTAGTAAGATATAAAATGTGGAAGGCAACAGAAAGGTTCCCAAGCTTCAGAGCCTGTTATAGACAGATGTCCTCTTTGTACCTCGTTTTCGTCTTATGCAGTTTGGAAAGTTGGCACTAGATATTCTCTGAGATCTCTTTCTGCTCTAAGTGTCTGGGAGCTGGTGTTCAAAGGCACATGTGCTTTCAGTTCATTCCCTACAGCACAGGGAAGGATACTTTCTGCCACCATTCTTGAACAACTGTAGAAAAAATTAAAATTGCATTCATTAATTCATTTGTGTATCTGTATATTCTCTGTTCAAAAAATCATTTATTAACACCATACAGTGTGTCAAGTCCTGGATTGGATGTTCACAGACTAGTGAGAGTTAGTTAGTTAGTTAACTGGTTAGTTAGTTAACTGGTTAGTTCATTTTTCAGGCTAATTCCAGCTTTTTGCTATGTATAGTGCTGTGTTGAGAAGGATCCTGAGGCGGCAGATAGGCTCAGAGGAAAAGGTGGCATAATATGTTACAGATAGGTATCACAGGCACAGGAGGGCGGTGGGGGGGGACATATTTACCACAAATTTACCTTTCCTTCCTTACCCTTCCATACAAGTTAGAAAAAAACAATTTAAGACCTACTATCATATATTCACCTAAGTTATCTCATATGGGAACAAAATTTTCTTCCTACCATCCTAGTGAGTAGGTTAATAATAGTTTAGATCAACTAAGTCAGCCCCATAAATGTTTATAAAATATTTTCTAGTGCTATTCTGCAGAGTCCAGCTTAGTTTAGCAACAGACACTAATGAGGGAAGGAAGAGAAAATAGAAATACCATTCTGTGAAATTGCACACAGAGAGGCAGGTAACCCACTGGCTGATAAAGCAAAATTTTTAATTATTCTAAGATCGTCAGACTGCCTGGCCTACTTAGCTTCCATAAAGATGCAGTTCTAAATGTTTTCATTAGTAAAAATAGGAAAGTCTAATGAACAGCTAACAAATTGCAGTAGGAGATAGTCAATTGACATACTTTTCTTTCCATAAAATTACAACATTAGAAATAATTCTTGATGGTAAAGTCTTAAGTGACTTTGCAACTGTATGGCTAATTTTCAGGTTAAATTTCTGCAGCATTGTAAAATCCATAACTAACCCCTTGACTGCTGGAATTTACTTCTTTGCTTGTCATGAATCAATTAGGATTTTGTGAAAAGCTGACAAATACTAGGCTCTATGATGAATGTGGCAGAGATGAAGACAGTCTGTGCTTTCAAAATGTTGACCATTTAATCCAGAAAGCAGTAATAAATGACACTTGCTCCCTTGTCCTGCAGAGAAGAGCTGACACTCATTAATGCAGTGGAGCAGGAAGCGCCCAGGAGGACTGAGTCAGCCTAGACATCCCTTGGCCTTTGAAACTCTGGGACCAAATAATTCTCCCCTCTGAGCAGACTTCCTCATATGTGTCCTTATCCCAAATCTCCAGTCCATACTCAAATCCGTGCTCTCTTCCTCTCTAGTAATTGTTCCCCGCCTAGGTAGAGACCTTCCCTTTCCCCAATTCCTTTTCCTTTTGCTTGCCCTTCATTCATGCTGGAAGCTATGCTTATGAATGTCCTTCAACTTCCCTTAGAATTCTCCCCTTACCTCCTCACTAGAACTGAAACCGGTTTTTGCTAACCCCATTTTCTACCAAACTATTTCAAATCCAGGCTGCCTCTTGTGTCAGTCCCCACCTCTCTAGGCCAGAAAAAGGTACCTTCCCTCCATCTCCCTGCCTCTTGAACCCCTGGCTTCCCAACATGGCCCCAGTGACATATATTGCCCCAATTTAAAGCCAGATCTTGCTTTGGCACTTTATAAACAGTTAACAAATATTAATTTTTTTCCTGCCTTGTTTCTGATCTTCCCAGTTAGAATTAATTATTCCCTCCACTCTGCAACCACTGCATTTTTTTATATTCTAACCACAGCACTTTTTATTTTTGACCTGCAATATAATTAGCTGTCCGTATATTTCTCCCACTAGGTTAACTCCCTAAGAACAGGGATGGTTCCTCACTAATCCCTGAAGCCTTACATTACTTACCACAAAGCTTTGAACAAACTAGACAACAGTACTCCGATGTATCTTCTTCATCTGTAGAATACCATAGGTGAAAGGGACATTCACCTGCCACCTTGAGTGATTAGTGGGCAGTGCTGGGAGTAGGTAGCACTGAATCAGAAAGAAAGTCTCAATTCCGTGAAAGCAAAAAATGATAAGCAATGAATTTGAGATTGTGTTTTTAAGCCACGTAACAAAATAAACTATTCAAGTACTTTAGAAATAAAGTATTTTTTTTGGACATACAAATTCCATGTAATATATAACATGTGTTAAGGCTCTTGCTTTGTCCCTGTCCCTGCTTTTGGCAACAAAAAAGCAAAGGTGAGTGAAATTCATCCCTATGTCCACCATTGCTCACATGACAGCATATTAATCCTATCTTTGGGAAAGCAGATTCCCTGTTAAACTTAGGCAACATACTATTAATCTTTTTTGATTTCTTAAATATTTCAAAATAACAGAATCGGATTTTCACAACAGCATTTCTCAGACTTAGGTATCTGAACATAGAAGTCATGAACTCTTGATATCCTGAATAAAAATAACTGAAAATAACTGAATATATGATGTTATAATTTTATAACTATATATCACCAAATGTTGAATTTTAGTCTAAGTAAGTGGTGGTAGCCAAGTTAAATGTATATATGTGTGTATAAAACGGAAAATTGAGAGGAAAATTCTAATTAATGACTTCACTGTTTCTACTTATTTGAAAAAAGGCTACCGTGACTTTATCAGTAGGCACTCAGAATCCATCAAATTTGAGAACTGATGTTTAAAAAGATTCTCAGGTTTAATCTGTTTATGCAAATTCCGATGGTCATCCCTAACAGCAAATAGCTTTTGGGCCCTCTTTGCTTTAACACATTCTTCTCTTTGAAATCTATTGTCCTTGTTTTCTGTCCTCTGTGGGCCTCTCAGTTGTCAGCCTGCCTTTCAGTAGGGAGCCACTTACTGGCCAATTACCATGGCCAATTACCATGAACGAGGCTACCAATTCCTTCATGTTGCCTCTCTGAGAGAACACTGCATTCACTGCTGCTTAGAGCTTTAGAACAGTCTGTTAAAGTCACCTTGATATTGAATGCCTGCGTCCATCGATAGAACCAAGAAACAACAGTCATAAAGTCATTGCATGAAAGGGGTCACTGAGAATCCAGTAAACACTTAATTGATTACCTCTTTGAAGAAAGACAGAAAGAAGTAGGTTGGAAATTAACAATTAATGAGTTCCTTGTATGTGCCAAACACTGTGTTAAGCACTTTCACAAATGTTATTTTATTTAAACTTCATGATATCTTTGCTTTATATTTCATTTCCCCTTTTTTAACCAATAAGAAAACTGAAGCAAAACTTAAGTGTTGTGTTCAATTTTCTACAACTTGCAAATTCTATAATAATGCCAGTGAAATGATGCTAGCTAGTTCTTCTGCTGAGAAACTTATAAAGATTATTTCATTCAATTCTCTAATTGAATGAAACCCCAATTCTATGGGCTCTATTATTATCAACATCTTTAAATAAGTAAACTGAAGCTTAGACAAAATATCTTGTTCAAGATTATCTAGCAAAATAGTAGAAAAGCTGAAATTCTAACTCCAGACCTTTCTAGCTACTCTATAGTATAAAGACCTGTCAGGGTAACCTGCTAAACACCACAGTAAATTCTAATCCAGTTTGGAAACTAAAATGTACAAAAAGTAAGGAAACAAGAAAGTACATACCAGGCAATAAAGTCAAAGGGGTTTAGAATCTGGAGTTAGAATACCAGGTTCAAGTCTTGCTTCTCCCATTTTCAGTCCCATGATGTTGGACAGATTGAGCCTACTCACAATGAAGATGGCAATTCTATTTCTGTCCCAGGATGGTTTTAAGCGAAAAATGGAAAAATGTGGTGAAAGTTTTATGTAAGTTGTAAAAACATTATGCATGCAAATTAACATCAATATTAGCACATTGAAAAAGCCAAAATCCCTGTAGCAATGAAGCTAAAATTATACAATCATTTTTAGTGCTTCTAGGGAGGCCTTTAGTCTGAATCTATCCCACAGAACAATGCTAA